GTTTAAGTTAGCTATAATCTTAACGAAGTTAAATCATTTCGTTACTATTTCATTGTTTTGCTTAACATATGTGATACTCTAGATGAAAATGACGTTAGAGCATGTCAGGTGATATTAAGGAATTGACTTTTGTTAATTTAGATTTCTTGTTCTTCAGACGGTTTATGTTAGGATGACTTCTTTGATTCTCTGTCGTGCAATACACTTCATCATGGAATGTACAATGGGAAGACAAGGTTCTCCTAAGAGGTATTCTTATCGGCTTGAAACTTGAGCGAAAAGTATCGAAAATCTGACACCAATGCCTTCAGTTTCTATCACTTAGTAGTCGTTGTTTGTTTGCAAGTATGTATGTTTTGAACACCTCATTGTGATGGTTATGCAGACATTTAGTAGTTCGCCAAGGCATCGTTGTGGTGGAGGTCGTAGCCAGGTCGAGGTGGCCGACGGAGTGGTGGTTAAGGCAATGTTGGACGAGGCCGAGGCCATAATTTCTCTTACCGCGCCACCTAGTAAGCTACAAGCATTGTTCTTGACTCTTATGTATAAATGGGATGTGTTGGAAAATATTTGTATTTTGGTTTATTTGAATGGTCTTCTGGGCTTAGCCCATTAGCATTAGGGTTTCAGTTTCTTACCTTTTAGGGTTAGGGTTAGTTTATTATAAATAACATGCTTTGTTATTCATTAGAGAATAAGTTAGTCACAATGTAGCCTCTTAAGGTTTTGAAGCCGTTTTGGAATTCTCGTTTATTAATAATATTCTTATTATTCTTGTTAGTCTTGTTCGCACTCTGATATTCAACTTGGTATCAGAGCAGGTTTGATCCTTCGAGATTTAATCTGCTTCTGTTTGCTCGTATTAGTTTGTTTGTTTTTTTATTTCGATATTAGTTGTTGGTAGTTTAAAATGCATCTGGAGCATCGGCACCCTTCACGAACTTGCATCTCACAGCTTGATCTGCACCTTGACTCGGGTCGTACCCGCATCGACTTCTTCCATTTGAATATGTCGCAACCGATATGAAGTCTTGCAGTTTGACTTTGCACTGGAGTTGTTTTGTTTGCTGCAATCCCTTTCCTTTTGTTCGACTTGGTTACTGCATCCATTGAAAAAAAAGGCACAACAGGAGGAAAGAAGGAAAGGGAGAAAATAAAAAAGGAATAAGAAAAAAAGAGGATTTTAAAAAAAAAGTAGAAAAGAATAAAGACAAAAAAAAGTTGGTTTTTTGTTTAAAGGTTCACACAGGCACAAAGAAATATATAGTCTGATTGGTTGAATTTTTTTATTGTTTGTTTGGAAGTTGGAATTGGCATCGGCATTGGTATTGGCATCGGCATCAACATCGGTATTGGTATTGGCATCGGTATTGGCATCGGCATTGGCATCGGCATCGGCATTGGTATTGGCATCGGCATCAGCGTCGGTATTGGTATTGGCATCGGTATTGGCATCGGCATCGGCATTGGTATTGGCATCAGCATCAGCATCAGCATCAGCATCGGCATTGGCACTGGAATTTGGAGTTTTGCATCCACATCTACTTTGGCAAACTCATGTCGTGTACCGCCATGAGTTTGATAGAGAGTGTTGGAAAATATTTGTATTTTGGTTTATTTGAATGTTTGGTCTTCTGGGCTTAGCCCGTTAGCATTAGGGTTTTAGTTTCTTACCTTTTAGGGTTAGGGTTAGTTTATTATAAATAACATGATTTGTTATTCATTAGAGAATAAGTTAGTCACAATGTAGCCTCTTAGGGTTAACCGTTTCGGCATTCTCGTTTATTAATAATATTCTTATTATTCTTGTTAGTCTTGTTCGCACTTTGATATTCAACTGGATGAACCTCAAAATTGTTGGTGTTTAATCCAAAGTGGATAGAGCGATTAGCGGCCAGTTAAAGTCCATTAAACAATAATACTGAGAGGGAAGCCATTTGTTTTCTACCTTGTAGAGGCTTGTTTTGGATCAGGGTATAAGCCCGAAAGAAAAGAAAATATTACATAGGATATCGCGAGGCTACGAGATCCAAACTATATCTGCAATTAGCAACCAACGACAAGAAGAAGTAGCTTGCTAAAAAAAAAGACCAAAACTACATGATAAACCCAAATAAGCCAAATAACTATTATGACCTAAGAAAGATAATAATTATTTTTTGTTGAATCTATGGTTATTTACATAGTTGACATGTAATTAAACCATATAACCAGAAAGTAAATAAAAGTGAAAATCTTGAGGCAAGTCTCCTCACAACCAGCTTCTCCAACTTTCTAATCAAATAATATCACGTCGCTATTTATGTTTTTGCTTAAATTCAATTAATAATCATATTGATACGATACGATACTGATAATTATGTAATTAAAATATTACCAACATTAAGAATATGAATGACTTAATAATCAATATATCGATATTGAGTGGTCGGACCTATCAGTCTGTGAGCCCTCCTGCCTCAAGATTCCAGTTGAAGAGACTCGACAACTCAAGATTCTGGTTAAAAATACTCAATAAAATGAAAATGGATAGCAACTAGCAAGAGAGCGAGAAATTATGGAGTAGTACGGTATCACCACTTCAGCCAGTGATACTTCCACTCAAATTTTGCCACGTGAAATTTTGTTTACATATGAATTTAATGTCTTTTTCTTGTCTTTTTTTTCGTCGTTAAAAAAAATTAGAAACTTAAAACTTAAATTAATAATAAAACCCAGTAACTATCCTTATCGGTGAGCCAATGTATTCGTACAGAAGTTTTGGTGACCGTTGGATTTCATCTGTGGCCAACATTGGTTACCCCTTAAGGGAGTGTTTGTTTGCCCTCACTAACATTCACTAAGCTAGATTTGACTAGTTGTCGAAATAATTTGGTATTTGTTGTGCGCAGGACTAATGAGAACTTGCCTTGACTAAAACCTTCACTAGAAGGCCTTAGTAAGATCGATAGAAAAGCATGGGACTGGTTAAGACCGTGCTTCACTTCGATGAACTTGTCTGCTTTACTTCGACCTTGACCTCTGCTACGCACGATTGACGATGGACTTGCATCGCCGATGATCTCCGTTGAAACCCAAACCCACAAAAGATTAGATCTTTATGAACCTAGCGGTGAATGAGGCACTCACTGACCTTGAAGGAATATGGGAGGCCAAGAACGTCGGTGCCCACGACAGTGACGAAGACATTGGCTGGATTGGGACGACAATAGCTTGGGGTCGTCGATGCTTGTTCTCCGTTAGGGGCAACAACTTTGGTGGCTGATGTTGATTTAAGTTTTGATTTTGAGCTAGGTTTTAAATTTGAACTAGGTTTTGATTTCTGGAACTGGATTTTGATATTTTTAAAACCTCCAGCTCACATCAATCCACTTGGCTCCAGGAAAGCCTGACATCCCCACCAGGGCCGAATTGCCTAGGTGGTGTGACATCATAATGACGTCACCCACAATTAAAAAAAGATAAAAAAATAATTAAAAATGCAAAACATTTATAAAAAATAATTAAAAATATACGAATATACAATTATATATATAAATATAATTTTTTTTTAAATATCTAACCATATTCTTCCACCTTACATCACATTTCAATATTTTTAAATACTTTCAACCAATATGTTATTATCCGACATTATTAAAAATAAAATGATCTTTTATATTATTTTATAGAAAAAATAATAATATTCTAATGTCAGTAGTATGGGCTATTCAGTCCAAGGGTGAAAAGACGCTTGAGCAGTTCACTAAAGGCAGTTGCTATTTACTTTCGGAGATTGGATTGCCTATGACCCATGAGGACTTTTAGAAAAAAAAATTATAGGCTAAATAGCCAAAATGGTTCCTGAGATTTGCATAACTCATCACTTTGGTCCCTAACATTTCAAATCGATAAAAGTTGTCCCTGAGATTGTCCACCATCCATCATTTTGGTCATTCCGTTAAAAACTCCGTTAAGTGTCCCGGAGCTCTTGGCCGGAAGTTTGAGCAATTTTCAAAGCTTCGTAACTCAATCGTTTCTTAACTAAATTGGACCCATAATATATCAAAATAAAGATAGGAAAGTGTAGAATAAGATTATACCTTTTGGAAGCTTAATGGCTGTCGGAGATGGCGGGAAAAATTCCTTAAAGTTGACTAGTCCAAGGAAAAACTAGAAAACTCGCCGGAAACTGGGTAAACTTTAAACGTTCATAACTTCTTCAATAATCAACGAAATCAAGTAATTCAAAAATAAAAATCATACTTCTCGACGAGACGAAGAGAATGGCACTTTTTTTTACAGCAAAAGTGCCATGGTTTGGCCGAAAACGGCTCAAAAGTGGCTAACTCAAGACCAAGACAACCACTGGCCAAACCACAGCAAGTTAGTCGTCGAAAAAGGTACCATTCTCTTCGGCTCGTCGAGAAGTATGATTTTTGTTTTTGAATCACTTGATTTCGTTGAGTATTGAAGAAGTTATGAACGTTTAAAATTTACCTAGTTTTCCAGTTTTCCTTCGGACCAGTCAACTTTGAGGCTATTTTCCGGCTATCTCCGGCAGCCATTGGTCTTTCAAATAGGTATAATCTTATTCTACACTTTCCTATCTTCATTTTGATATATTATGGGTTGAATTTGGTTAAGAAACGATTGAGTTACGAAACTTTGAAAATTGTCCAAACTTCCGGCTACGAGCTCTGAAACACTTAACGGAGTTTTCAATAGAAGGACCAAAATGATGGATGGTGGACAATCTTATGGACCACTTTTATCGATTTGAAATGTTAAAGATCAAAGTGATGGGTTATGTAAATCTTAAGGACCATTTTGGTTATTTAGCCATAAATTATATGTAAAGTGGGCCAATAGATGAGCTAATAAGGATTCCAAAATCTAAATTGAATGATCCAAATTGATGAGTCCGGTAGATTAAAAACTTGAGATATGGAGAGAATCTCAATCCACAAAATTGTACTATATCAAGTTTTTAATTTTTCACGCATCACTCTTCACTCATGACTCGTCACATCCATTAAACCAGACCTGGATATAACAACTTTCCCAACCAACCTCCACAGAAATAAATAAAGAGCCGCACAACCAACAAACCTGAAGATACGCTTCAGAAACCCTAGAAGCTACCTGGATTTCTCTTAGATCTGTGGAAATGGAGGCTTCCGATTCCAATCTCTCTCAGCTCCAATTGCAGCTCTCGAACCAACCTCCGCCACAAAATCCGACACCGGTTCATCACCAATTTCTCAACCCAGCTCCGGTCCAGGACCAAGTTCCGGCTCAGCATCCGGCTTCCTCTGCTTCTCCATCAGCTTCTTCTGCTTCTGCATCAGCTTCCTCTTCTAAGAGTAACTCCTACCTCTTGCATTTTCATCTTTCTACTACTTTATCTCTGTCTGTTCCACCTGAAAATAATAGAAATTATTATTATTATTATTATCATTATTATTTTTCAGTTGAAAGAACGAAATGCCAAAAAGCATTCACATGATTTCGTGCTGTTCGTTGGTTTTTAGAAATTTTGTGCTGCTGTTTTTATGTCTGGTTTAGGAGAACAAACTACATTTGTTATTCACTGAGGAAAATTGTGTTTTCAATTTCATATACCTCGAGCCTTTCGTTGTGTATCTGTTCGCGGCGATATGGCTGCACCGTGTGGAGGGAGTTATTAATTAATCATGAGACGAGATGTTGGCATCGGGTTTGATTGAGATGTGTTTTACTAGAGATGAGGCAAAAACTATCTTGAGCATGCCGTTACATTGCTTGGGGTGTGCGGGTAAAGTGTTCTGGCATTATACTAAGCACGAGCTCTTAACTGTCAAGTCTGGGTGTAAGGTGGCGCAAGAGTTGGAGCGTTATGGTGAGCTTGGAAGGAATCGAGTAGAAAGGGTGAAAAGAATAAGTTGTGGCCGATGATCTTGAAATTGGAGAGGCCTAATAAGCTTGGACATTTTGTATGGAGATGCTGTAACAATTTTCTAGCTGTTAAAACTAATCTTCGAAGGAGAGGAGTATGGCTTGCAACTGAATTATGCTTTGATGATAACTATGGCTTGCAACTGAATTATGCTTTGATGATAACTAAGAACTTAATTTATCTTTATAATACATGTGATTTTCCTGATCAATTGAATTGGAAGTATGCTTTGATGCAATTTGGAGGAGATAAGCGAAATCAAGGGTGGTTTGATTGAATGCATAATCTGTAATTAGGGTTTAGTGACTCGTAGGATTGCAATTTTGAAGATCTTTCGATAAAAAATTACTAGGAAATTTAGGGTTTTAACATGCACAACAACATTGTTGAAATCGCTCAAAGAATGAAAAAAATAAATATGAAGCCTTGTTTCAAGTAATTATTGTTATGATATCACTTCTTTTATATTGCCTTTGAACGTGCATAAGGAAAATTCTTTAAATTTCACATGCTGAAATTGTTTTCTGTTAACTTACTTGCAAAAGATTGGATCTTTGGAAGTTCTTATACATTTGAGTTCGTGTAGGCCTACCAGATCACTTGACGCACAAAAATCGACTGCAAGAATATGCCCAGGGAGCAGGCCTCCCGCTTCCGGTTTATCAGACTGTCAATGAAGGAAATCGACATGCACCATCAACTTTTAGGTCGTCTGTGTTGGTGGATGGAGTTTGCTATGCTTCATCCAACACATTTGCTAGTCGAAAAGCTGCTGAGCAAGATGCTGCTAGACTAGCCATGATCAGTATAACAGAGAAGATAAAGGATGAAGTTCCTACTATTCCTCCTGTTCACGAGGTTTGGTTTTCTATGCTCAATGTTTCAGTTTGGGTACAAAATTTTTGTTTTAACATACTCTGAATTGTTCAAAAACTTGTTTTGTCAAATTAGCTTGCAACTCTTTTTTGGTGCATCATCACTATCTAAATGAAATTTATGCTTACTTGTTTACACTTTGCGTTTACCAATGCAATATATAAAAGAATGGAAGATATTAAATTTTACTACATTCCTCTGGTTATTTTCCAGGATCTGGTGTTTTGCAAGAGTATCCTGAATGAATATAATATGAAAAGGAAAATAGAACCACCTACTTACCAGACTTTTCAGGGAAATGCGAAGGTTCCTTTTTTTGTATCTTCTTTGGTTGTCAACGGTGTGTCCTATACTGGGGATGTTGGAAAAAGCAAGAAAGAGGCTGAACAGTTAGCAGCTCGTGTTGTTATTCAATCACTTCTAGGTACTGTTTTTTATATTTAATTTTACATGTGTTTCCAGAGAAACTAAAATTACATGTTGTGAGTTAATGTGATACATGCACTTATTTTCTTGTGGCTGACTAATTGAAGATAAATTCAGGTGATTCTGAATCAGCACCCATTATGTCCGAGATCCTTAGATCTAAATACAAACTTGCACATAAGAGCAAGGAGCCAGACTCTTCACATGCCAATCTTGCAACTTCAGCAGTAAACACAGGACAAGGTTATGTGATCTCAACTGACACTCCAGTAGTCGTTGCACCTGAGGCATCTTTGGGAATGCATCCGCCACGCCATGAATTTATCAAACGGAAGCAAGAGGAACCAGCTTCTCAAGCACCCCCCCAGCTTCCCATAGCTTTTGTTCCTCCAGCTTGTAAGCAGCCCCTAGTTGTTGTTTCAACTTCCTTGGCCACAACCCCAACTTCCTTGGCCCCTGCCTCAACTTCCTTGGCCCCTGCCTCAGCTTCCTTGGCCCCTGCCTCAGCTTCCTTGGCCCCTGCGTCAACTTCCTTGACTCCTGCTCCCACTTCCTTGGGCCCTGCTCCAACTTTTTGGGCTGTTCTTCCAGCTTCCAAAAAGCGGCGGAAGAACAAGAAGTCTGAAACAAACTTGCAGAATGATAATCAGTAAGTTATAGCTTATTGTTATTATTTTTTATTTCCCATTTCTTTTATGTATTTTGACTTGTGCTTTCATTCACTATAAAGATTTAATTACATTTTTTATTTCTCATGAAGACTGAAGAAACTTCCTATTGGTTGAATACATGGATGCATATGTTGCTTTCCAATTTGAAGAATTTTGTGTATCATGTAATGTTTTCCTTTGCTTTGGTTTCCCACGGTACCATGTTTACCCGTCCCCACCTTCCTTCCCTCCCAAACCCATAATTGCTCAGCAATTTCCCTTTTCTACAAATGCAGAATGAGTTGGTAAAATTTTCTAGAAACGAAAATCTGGTGTCATAACTTATCAGGAGAGTAACTTAAAAAACAGAGCTTGTGTTTTGCTTTATTTGCCTTGCTGAGTATTCATAAGCTAATATGCCTGCTGGATTGTTTTGTTGTTTGGAGAAGGTATTATGCCTTCACATTTTCTTAAACTTTGGTGTGTGCCTACGGAAAATTAATCAACCAAAAGATGTACATGATTGAGCAGGGATAAATTCTTTCAAATCTTGTTCCGTTCTTGGATTCTTATAGAGGGCAGGCAGTAGCAATGGGTTTCCTTTAGTATAACAATCATCTACAAAAATGTTCTCAATCTTCAACTTGATTTCAAATAGAAAATAAAAACTTGTTTATGATGGTGTAGTATATCTTCTCGGTTTCCAGGTGAGGGGAGGGTAAATATATGTGTACTATGAATTCCTTTGAAGTTATGTTTGAATTTCATTTTAAAATACTTCAATCCAACTTCAAACCGTCGTCATTGCATCAACTCTTGCTGAAGCTCCGTGTTTAATTGTTCCATGGTAATCTGTATTCGCTAGCTTAATAAGTGTATCCTGAAAATTGCAGGTTGCCAGCTGGTACCTTGAACTTGAATCAACCAGCATCTTGTGCAGCTTCGCAGTGAATACCATAACCGCACGGTATCTATTGCAAGGTGTAGGTCAAGCTCTTATGTATTTAGATTATGTTGTACGTTTAGATTGCATCTGTAAGATAAGACATCGCGGTTGCTTGCTTGGAAATCGGAAATGTTTTGACTCAGATTTATGTTTCACTTCTGCTTTGTATGATAGAAAATTTGCCCTACATTTTTATCGACGTCTGACTTTTTTTGCTTTGATTGGAATTGACTTTTGATCCAAAATTTGCTAAAGGACAAAATACCAATTGCAAAGTTTTGTTTGGCAATATGGCCACCAAAAGCAAAAAGTAGTTCCCTTATTGATAAAAAGCTTTTAGTAACGGGAAGTGTTTTCCGCACTCATTTGTTGCGTATGCACGCTTTCTTTGTTTCAAGGTTTTGGATTGCATGAATCAAAGGAAGCAAACATTCAAAGGTGGGGATGATGGTTATAAATAAGGGAACTTTAACGAAAAGCTCCCGGTACTGTTCACTTTAACGAAAAACCACATTTTTACACTAAAATGTCAATCTTGGTACTATTCACTTTATCCTTTATTTTGTCCTTATCATTAAAACTCAAAGTTTCCAAACCTTTTTCATTAGTTTTCCTTATAAATAATGTTCTTGTTGAGAGTTGAACTCAAGACCTTCACTTGCTAAGCAGGCGCTCCATCCGAGCTATAGGAGCCCATTGGCTAGTTGTAAACAGTAACTTTTGCGCTTCATTTTCCTTCAAATTCATTTTCATATCATGTCCTTGGTCCATTGGCTAGATGTGAGTAGGGGTGTTTATCAGAAGGATAGGATCACTATTTTTAAATTCAAAATTTTCGATATGTTTGGAAATTTTAAAATTGGAGTAATCTCAGAGATTTCGAAATATATTTCGAACATTCATATATTTTATGATTTTTTGAATATTCTATAATTTTTTTGTACAGCAATTTATTGTTTTTTTTTTTAATATTCAATTAATTTTGTAGTATGGTAGAATGCTTACCCTATTTAATATAAGTGTATGTTTAATATAAAAACAATGAACAAAATGTAACTAAACTAACAATAAAATACAAATTTTGATTATAAAGTACGTATTTTGAGTAGATAACTATAAAAAAAGAATCTCAAAAAAAAAAAAACACTAAAAAATTAGAATATTTTCTGAAGTTTTTTATCGGAATAAGTTGGGAACACTTCAATTTTTTTTGAATCGGAGTTGGGAATTATCGGAATCTTTAATTATATTACAATTTTCATCTCAATATATTCGGATTCAGAAATTGTGTAGTCCTAAACATGAGCATAATCACATTGGGCTGAATAATAAATCAAGCGGAATATTGTTATTTCGAAAAATCAAGCTACATCAAGTATCAAGTGTAGTTTTTGGAACTTGATCTTGTATTTCAGAGATGAGGATAATAATATGGGAATCTAATTTGTCCCCTACAATGTAGAAATGTGTATGGCAGAAGAAATACCCCTGTCAATCTCTTTCCTTACCTCTTCATGGAACTTGTCCAATGACTCCACAGGTAGTGAAACCAGAACCAACACTCCTTCAACACCCTCTTCATTTTTGTGCGCAATAACTGAAGTCACCATTCCAGGTACAACCCCAGTTCCAGCTCTTGCTGGTCCACCATACACACCTTTCCCCCAACCAAAATCCATATCAACAAACCGCAATCGGGTCATGTCCGAAACCACAAACGTCCCTTCCGAACAAAACCCTCTACGCCCATTCATCTCAATGAAATCCAAAACCGAAGCTCTATACTCCTCCCCAACGACGCTCTTCTTCGCTTGTGAGATCAAGTTTGAAGCATAATATAACGGACTGTTGACTAGTTCGGCTGCCTTTGCAATTGCGCATGGGAACACGACAGCGCATCCGTAATAGCCATTGGGAAGGGATGGCTTGGATCGAAAACGGGTATCAATAGGGAAGAGAAGCCTTGTAGTGGATTGAGGGCTCATTAGGGTTCGAGTCCTCACCCTCCATAAACACCCCGCGATTGCATCAAAGGAGGGACATCTGGGACTAATTTGGTTTTTGAGAGATGATATGTCAGCCTGAGAGAGGAACAGTGATGTTTGAGCAAGAGATTTGAAGTCGCTTTCTGCGTAAGAAATGGTAGGATCATGATTAGTACTACTAGTTATGTCATACTCATGGTGGGGGTAGGAGATGGTGGGAGGTGACCTGGGGTTGAGAGTTTCTCTTCCCCAAGATGGTAACGACGATGGAGCAGTTCGAGTTGGATTCAAGCAGAATTCTGAAACGGCTTTCATGAAGAGGTAAGCGCCATAGGCATCACAGATGCAGTGGTTGAATGTGTATGCTAACACAAACCCTCCGCATGCAAGCCTTGTGACCTGCCAAGTGACATGAAATTTACACATCAATGGAGGGAAGAAAAATTATGTGCACATCCATTTTCTTTTAACAAAAAAGGATTTTCAATAAAGCAAAAACAAACAAGACAAACTAATTAACTTTTCTAGTTTGTATAGATATACAATCCAAAAGTTGTGGAGCCAACTCCACCCGTTCCCCCTAGGCAAGGGGGTTGGGGGTGGCTAGGCAGGAAAGAGTCCAATGTATACGTTTAACCCTTCCCTCATAGTGTATCGGTAAGCATACATATATATAATCAGTAAATATGTGAATCATATCTCTAATAGATACGAAACCCATTTATATATGTGAGGGGTGAGCCTCACGTTTCTTCAAAGTTTGAAACATATGAACTATTATATATATATATATATATATATATATATATATATACAAATTGCTTAAGGGAAGGGATCCCCATTTTTTGAAAAAAATGGGGATTAGGTGTGGGGTCTACTCCACATCGAATTTCAACGATCCGAACCATCTATTTTGTTAGTCTCGATTCATAGATCATCCTTGCAAAATATTAGCTAAATCGGAAATGTTTAAGACATCTAATTGGGTTCAAGGAAATGAACGAATACTTTGTTATATAAGAAAAAATGAAATTTGATCTTGATAATTAAATAGGCAAATGGTTTCGGATTGAATTGAATTTTTGCAAGGATGATCTATGAATCGAGACTAACAAAATAGACGGTTCGGATCGTTAAAATTCGATGTAGAGTGGGCCCCACACCTAATCCCCATTTTTTTCAAAAAATGGGGATCCCTTCCCTTAAGCAATCTGTATATATATATATATATATATATATATATATATATATATGCATGACCGCGTGATAGTACTAAGTAGTAGAACATTCCAGTTAAAATACAACGTGTATGAACAATGTGTGTTTTCATTTTGACCTTTATATCGTCGATTGACGAAAATCGAAAGGGAAAGACATTCCCGACATGGAGCTATTTCATGACGAGGATTATGTAATAACTTAAATAGTCATCGTCACAAACCTGCATGCGAAGCAAAGGTGAATCAGTGATGAGGACGCTACCCAATAAATCATCCACAAGAAAACATTCCCATTGTGGAAATGGTGGCTTCGGTCCACCTTCAACTTGATGCAGTTGTGCTAGTTTGATATTGGCATCGCCTTCACGAAACACCACTCCCTCACCACAACAGTCCACAACAAGCTTACCCTTAGCGGCACACCGGAGCCTCCCGGCCACCGGATAGTAGTAAACGAGGGCCTTGGCCAAGGCCTGTTTGATCATCACAACTGGATCTTTGGATGACGAGGCTAAGCTTGGGGGATAGAAATGGACGAATGGTATGTGGTTTCTTAGGCCTTTTTGGTCATCAATGTTGGATAAATATTTGAATTCTCTAGGGGTTGGTTTTTGAGGTTGAATTAGCTCTGGTTTGCTGACTTGCACATTGAACTTCAACATTGGTGCCATTTGTAAATTTATAGTGTGATGGATAGATGGCAGAGAGAGTGGGTTTTGGATTGGAGGTAATGAGCTGGTGTACCCTAGCTCTGTCCTTATATTATATATATATAGTGGAGATTTATAAGTGTAGCCTTAATGCAAATATTCATTTCAAACGGTCAGCTCTTTTTTGTTAACTTCGAGTGAATAAAGGGAACCAGAAAAAAAGCGTTTCATTGCTTTGCATGCCCGTACTTTGAACCAGAAAAAAAGTGATTCCGAAACAACATATACTAAAATCTGGTCGCATTTTAGTATATAGTATCCGAATCACTTCGTAAGATTTTAGAACATATACTAAAAAATGTACTCTACGACCCAACTGTTTATTTTTTAGGTTTCTCCTCAAATATCATCTCGACAAAAAATCATCATAATCCAAAATCATATGATTGCTGGATTAAATGGTTGGGATTTTATTGTTTCTTATTCTTTCATTTTCTTCACTAGAAATGAATGTCTTGATAGTTCTGGATTGAAATATTGATGGTTCTGTTAACATTGTGTTCATGATCCTCATATATATAATGTTTTAGGTTTTGTAATATAGAATGACGTTATACATAGGGTGATGACATCAAATTTCTTGGGTTTTTCAAATGTTTTTTATCTTTCCAATTTCTTGTATAGCATGACCTCTATCATAAATGATACAATGTTAACGGAAGTTTTCCTCATTTCTCAGAAGATTGTTTGTCGTAAGAAGTTCTTGTGGATGCAAGGCTGCAACTCCTTTTATCCGAACTAACCTAATCCATCTCTTTTCTGTTCTTTTGGGGTGAGAGGGATGGGCTTGGATTCAAGCAACTAGCTTAATAAAACAGAATAAAGATAAAATCAGACTATTGCGTGGAAGTTTTAAATTATTCTTTACTTCTGGTGAGGTCAAGAAACTCCCTAGCTGCTGGCTAGCTAGTTTCTTTGTTTTGTGAAATCAGAAATAACCGTTTAAATGATCAAGGATAGATGTACAAGAAAGGTTTTGTTAAACAAAACTTTTTTTTGTCGAGTGTTCTACGCAAATTCTGGTAGTGGGTATACGACCAAGAATTTATCACGTGATGAAAACTGAAATATCATATATAATCTTTACACAAGTCTACCGATAGAATGTATAAGAATGTACCTTTTAAAAGATAATTCCAAGTGGAAAAACTAGCAATACCAAATACTCTTAGAACTTAATGGAAGGATAAACTTCCATCTATGTGGAGAATTTGCATATCTCACATTTTACGAATAAGGTATCTACTCTGTAGAAAATTAATAATAAAAACTGTTTAATTTCTTAATCTTTATTTGAAGATTCTTTTTTTTAAAAAATCATTCAACCTGGAAATTGTTTATACCCAAATGAATTTGCTGCTGAACAAACGAAAGCTAGTTAACACTAATTACACAACAACTAAAAATCAACTCGGTATGGGTTTCTTTTCCCTCTTGATTGAATGACTTAGTACTAGATGAAAGACTTGATTGATCAGAAGAACCAAAACACTATTGTTATTTGGAACTAGTATAGGAGGAGACACTGATGAAACAAGTAAGGAAGAACCAATATGTGGATTTTTGGACACTAATTTACGGTTTCGAGAATTTTGGGTTGCATGAGTTTGGTTTAGGATTATGCTTTAATTTGGTGAAGTGAGCAATACTTAGAGCACTTCTAGTGTAGGAAGGCCCCCCCAAGGCAACTGTCAATTGAATCCCCTCCAATGACTAGTAAATGCCCTTAATAAACAATAATTGCTTTTTGCATCTTCATCCCTGAACTGAATAGTTATGACAATAGACAATAAAATATTAGTATTTTTTATTTTATAAAATAATAAAAAATAATTTTATTTGTAATTTCGGATAGGATTTTTAATCCGTCTTGTTGTGCCACATGTCATTATCCGAAAGGATAATTTTTTGTGATAGATTTCGATAGACTTCGCTAAATTTACATAAACACACCAAATAAAAAAAAACACACTAAATGAACTTAAGTTTTTTGAGTTTGTTTCAATTCCCACTGGTGCTCTATCAAGTCAATTTGTCGGGCTTTGTGATAGTATGAGGATTGAAGTGAAGTATATCGTTGAATGAGTCTTTCATTGTAACATCCATCCCTTTCTAATGGCTCGTGTTGCACGGGTTCTTCGGTGGTGTCATGAGCACAATATATTTGTGTTTTGGAATTGTTCATCGTGTCTGGCTCATATTCATCAATGACATCATAATCATACTCATCTTCCACAATTATGTTGTGAAGAATGATACACGTCATCATGATGGATTGAAGTGACTCTAAATCAAACAATCTGGCAGCACCCCTGACAATCACCCAATGAGCTTGGAGGATACCAAAACAACGCTTCACATCCTTCCTACACCCTTCTTGACAGCTTGCAAAGTGTTTTTCCTTTTCACTTGCAGGACGTGGCACTGTTTTGACAAATGATGTCCACCGTGGGTAAATGTCGTCTGCTAGGTAGTATGCTCCGTGGTACTTATATCCATTGACCTAATACGTGACTTTTGGTGCTTTTCCTTGCAGGATATCGTTGAACATTGGGGATTGGGCAAGGACATTGAGGTCATTTTTAGCTCCCGAAACACCGAAAAAAGCTTGCCAAATCCATGTATCAAATGATGTCACCGCCTCCAAAATGATACTTTTTGCTCCTTTTTTGTCCCCATAAGTTCCTTGCCATGCACTTGGACAGTTTTTCTAGGTCCAGTGCATACAGTCGATGCTTCCAATCATGTCAGGAAAACCTCGCATCTCACCCTTCTTCAGAAGCCTTTGCAAGTCCATTGACATAGGTCTTCAAAGGTACTCTTTGGTGTAGATAGATTCGATTGCGGAGCAAAACCTCATCAAGGACTCAAGAATGGTTGATTTACCCATCCTCAATATCTCATCCACTTGGATTACAGATGCTCCATATGCAAGCATCCGCAATGCAGCAATAATTTTTTGCTCATGAAGGAGACCCATGACACCAAAGGCATCTTTCTTTTGCACAAAGTAAGAATCATGGTTGCAAACAGCAATCATGATTTTGTTGAACAAATGTCGTTCCATTCTAAAACGACGTCTAAAGTACGTATCAGGGAATGCACTGTTACGGACAAAATAACCGTCCAAAAGATCTTACCTTGTCGTTGCTTGCTTCTATCAATGTTTGCGGAACGGCTGGGCCTAAAGATCTCAGCCACATCTTGGATGACTCGACGGGAATGTGAGACTCTTTGGCTTCTTGCTTCGTCATCTCTCCTTCTACGCTCCTCATCCTCATCCTCATCCTCTTCTATTTCATTTTCGCCCCCTGGAGATTGAACATTTCTTCCCCTTGCTTAAACAATTATTTCTCTTGCTCATCGATTTCCCACAACATCCTTGGATAAGACATTGTAAGAAGGAAGCATATACTATGAATAAAGATAGATATTTTGATTTTGGTGTGTGATTTCTTAGAATGGATGGTGAGTTATAAGGAGGAATAATAAAGGATTAGGTTGGAAACAAAAGTATATAGAAACTTTGAGAGAAAGATTGGAATATGGTTGAAAGTATTTGAGAAAATATGAAATTGTGGTGTAAGGTGGAAGATAATGATAAGGTATTTATAGAAAAATAAATCTTTTTTTTTTAAATTTTTTTCAGATTTTTATTAATTTTTTACATTTTTTATTAAATTTTTATTAACTTAATTAATTTTTACCGTTGGATTAAAGAAAATTTGAAATTCAACCCTTCAGATTGTGCCATGTGGCACAACGGTAACAAATCAAAATTTTTTTCCTTTTTTCTTTATTTAAAATTTTTTTAAAGGCGAATAACGTGGACCGTTGATTTGAAATCCAATAGCTGAGATTGTGCCACGTCATCCAGCCGTTGGGGGAGGTTTGAATTTTTTTTTTACCGTTGGAAATCCAATGGTCCAAAAAAAATCCGTTGAAATCCAACAGCCTTGAGGGTGCCACGTGGCATCCAAAACAGTAACATATCCGAATTCAAACCGCGGGCCCCACCGACTGAAATCTAGTCTATGACACACCCCCACGCGCGCGTGCGATGTACGCACTTGACGCAAATTTTTTTATAACATGGCTGATGTCATCCTAATGTTAGCCTTGCATCAGAGAGCCCTCAAGCACTCAGGCCTTGGACTTGTGCATCCCTTCTCACACGGACCCCTCCTTAGCACAATCGCCCGCGTGGGCTGGAGCAAGGAAGGGAAGGGATTAGGTTAAAGAGGTCCCCTATCCACTGGAGTTGCTATTACACTTATGTGGTTTTGTTCCTCCTTAAGTTTTACTTTTGAGATTATTACTTTTATATGTAATATTTTTTACTTGTCAACGTCTTTAATGTACCGTTAAAATTTATCTAATGAATATTATTTCCTATCAACCAATATAATAGAGATAATATAAGATAGAGGGGACAAATTCAATCTTTAACCTAGAACTAAGACCAGCTCTGACCTGTGCTAAACATATAATTAAAGAATGATTAGAAACTTAAAACTGCCAGATGGAATTAATAAATAGTCTTCTTAGAGGTTATGGAATTAGGATTATGAACCATCAAGGACTTAAGGGAAAGGGCATTAAAATAAGGCTTATTTTTCTAGTACTCTTCACTAAATTTCACTTTAGTCTCTACGTACTCTATATTGACTCACTTTATCACTTACACACTCTCTCTATATTCCACTTTACTACTTAGACTCTATGTTGTCTCACTTTAACACCTGCACTCTTTTTCAATGTCTCACTTTACCCTCTTTCATCAAATAAGTGAAAAAGAGCCGTTAATTGTGCCAACACAGCATGGACAATGTAGTCTTTTCAACTATATTAGTAAGACCCATGAATGCAAAGATATGGAAGAAAACTCAAACCAAGGTTTGGTTTCTCAATGTTAAGAAAATTAAAGAAGAGGATAGCAATAGATGCAGAGATTCTCCCTA